GTGTGAATATAGCTAAAGTTTCCCTTAGCTGCCCTCTGAAGTTGGAGTCTCCCACCCCGTCCAGGTGTGTCTCCTTCTCTAGAAATGTGCAGCGTTAATGTAGGTATTGTGAGTGAATCCTCCCGCTTTGTAGGGATTTTAGTGTAAGCTGCATTTTTCACTTATTAAGATGCACTCATATTGATACAAATGGCTCTTGCCCGGTCCTTTCAGTAGCTGTATCGTATGTGTTCCCGTGAACGTACCGCATTTCCTCTGTCCCGAGATCTATAGGCGGCTAGTTGCTGCTCTTCTCTCCTCCGTCGTCAGCAGCACCGCAGGAGACGGCCTGCACGTGCCTCTGTAATGTTTCTCTAGGGTAGTGATTCAGAAGTGGAATCTGGGGTCTCAAGCTTTCCACATTTTTAGTTTTAACAAATATTACTAAAGTGTCCTCCATAATTTATGTACCATTTAAATTTCCAGCCAGAGGGTTTCAGAGGACTCGAATCCCCATATCATAAGCAGTTGTTTTAAACACTTGCCAATCTGACAGATGAAAAATTGAATCATTTAAAAGATGTATATATACCTGTTTGCTAGAGAGATTTTAATAGGTGTATGGCATTTGTATTTTCTATTTTCTGAATTATCTTTTCATTTCTCATTTAAAAATTGTTTATCTGATTGTGGAATTTCCTAATGTAATCTGGATATTAATCTTTTGTATCATTTGGGAAGTATTTTCTTTCAGTTTGTCTGCTGCCTATAACTCTTTGTAGGATCTTTTGTTAGACAAGTTGTCAGTTTTGACATAATGAAACGTGGCAGTTTTTTTCCTTTATTCCTTTTATTTACATATCCTATTTCAGGCCTTCCTTACTCCTAAGGTTTAAATATATTCTATCTTCTTTTCTGATAATATTGTTCTTATTTGGGTCTTTAATGCACCTGGAATGTGTTTATGATTGAAATGAGATATGATCTAACCTTTCTCCAAACACCGGCCGATAGCGCAGCGCGCAGGCTGCCTAGAACGCTCGCTCTCCCTGCGCCGAAGCGGAGCCCCCCCCCCC